AGGTCAACACAGTTTCCCCTCAACTACCAATCAAATGGATTAACAGATAAAAGCGGGAAAAAAAAAACAACTCTAAGAGGGCTCGAGGGAAAAAAAACACTCACGCCAGACTTTATGAAGATTTAATCACGACCCTCGCCTGCAGCCATGGGATACCAGAAGTGGCCCTCCTCTGTTCATTTGGCATTCTTTTCACTCAGCGTAATGAAGCTGGAGTGTGTCTACTAGCGTGTGAGGGTGTGAGTGAGTCAGGGGAGGATGGAGATGGAGGATGAGAGGTGGAAATGTAGAGGGATTATTAGTGGGGATGTAGTGAAAGGACGTGTTCAAGAAAATGAGGAAAAGAAGAGGGGACCAGCGAATGACATCACTGCTAACTAGCCCCTGATTTGGAAGGTCGGGAGCGGTGTCTGTGGCAGTTCACTCGGGGTTGATGCATCAAAGAGTAAAACTAGACATGTGCTACGACTAACAACTTGTTTCTCAGACAGAGAGGAACTAGGTCTGAATGTTTCAGAATGTTGCGCCGAGATCTGGAGAGCAAACGGGGTACTGGAGCCTTTAACTGCAGGTTTTCGGAGGCCAATTTTCTCCTGATCTCCCTCAGATGTTCTAAAGTGGGATCTGAGGAAGAAAAACATAACAAGGCTGTGCTGGAGACGGCGGAGAACAAAAAGCAAATTGGGAGGAAGAAAGACTGAGGGAGATAAAACAGTCGGGGTAGGATAACAGAGCCTCACAGAGACAGAGAAGGCGATACAGTTGGGAGAGTTGGTAAAAAGAGTGAAACAGGTGGGAGGAGAGAAAACAGAAGCAGACGGGGATGGATGAAAGAGGTAGAATGAGTGATAGCAGACAAGAAAAACTCTGAGAGTAGGACAGGCAGCACAGAAACTGGAGTATTCTGCAAAAATGTCCATTGTTACAAAACATGAAGGCCCTTTTTTTGTTTTAAATCAGTCAAAAAAAACCTTTCTACCAGAAAACTAATTCCTCTTGTTGTAAACACTCTGTATTATCAATATAGAAAAAATCAATATTTTGAAAAAAGAACTGATCTGCTGTGAAAGCAAAAAGTCTCACCTAGTTGGTAGATTTTTCACACTAGCTAGGTGTAAACTAAACATCCAGTGTGTGTTTGGTTTTTCCTCCAGTGCACTGAAAGTGAGGCTGTGTTTTGAATAAACACAGTGGCAATTTGGTTAGCATGAGCAACAACAGCTGCCGTCGCTGAACGGAGAAAGATAAAACAGATTTCCAGCAGAAAATCAAAAGAAAAAGCTGTCGTTGTGCTGGACTTTTTGCTTCAAATGCGATCACTGTGATGCAGTAAAAACATACAACACATTAATGACTGTGTAATGGCAAACAGAGAGATTAAACACCAAGCAAAGACGTGGAACCCAGGGATGCTTTTACAGCAGATAGTGAATCAAAACTGATCACTGTAAAGCTTGGAGAGATAGGTGAAGACACAAGGACACTTTTAAGACAGATATGTAAACAAACAGAGTGAGAAGGAGGGATAGAGCCTTGTCTTCCAGCAGCACCACAGTGAGCGACACCTCTCTGGTGTCTTGAATGTGAGGAGAGACTGACAGGCAGTCTGATTGGTCCCAGCAGTGGGGATCATGTCATGCCACTTCTTATTGACAGCCCAGCCATCTCTTAATGGCTCGGCCAGCATTTGCATTGCTGTGTGTGGGAATAGCACCGGTCCCCCCACTGAAGTGCGTAATTAATCACACATACTGTCAGCCTCCCCCTCCCCCCAAATCCACCAAAACAATGTGAAACTCAGTAAGTGTGTCTGTGTGTGTCCATGCATCATACTGTATGCGCTCACTAGAGTGACTAAGACATGACTATGATGACTGTAGTGATGATGAAGGTGATGATGGCAATTATAATGATAACAATGATGACTCTTCTTGTTTTGATCTCAGAGGGAGCTTGTGAGAAATATCATCATGATCACTTTCAGTTCTGTTTAGCTTGACAAGGTTCCATTGAGTTTAGTCACATGACACACAAACACATTCACATATAAACAGTATATATTTAATGGCAAACACACACACATGCTCTGAGGGTGGTGGACCTACCTATAGTGCTGTGAATGTGAGGGTGGCAGGATGGGTGGATGGTGGGGTCTGGGTGGAGGTGAAAGTGGTGAACAGGTAGAGGCGGGGTGAGGTGTGAGCCAGTGGGTGGAGGTGGGCTGCGGTGGCTGGATCTGGGCTGTGGGCCTCGCATACGGAGGCCGCCTGCAAACCAGCGTCGACAGACTCCCGACAAAAAGAGAAACTTCATCTGAAATATCATCACTGGCTCACAGTCTTCAGCCTGACTCATGCATCATCAGAAATGGGAACGAACATTGACAAATGTTAATCCGTCACTTCAGCCTGCAGAATGCTGGCGAGACTGCTCCCATGATGCATTGTTAGGCAAAACCAGCACCGATTGGAGGGAAGTGCAGAAATCCACCCTTCCTCTCAGAAGACGGCCATGTTTTCACAAGTTCCCCAGGCAGGGTTCAGTAAAAGTTTACTGCCCACACAATCCCGTAACAGCCCTGGTCTCCAACACTACAAATACTCATATATTCAAAGCACCAACCCTGATGGAAAACTAATATCCCTTAACTCATATACTGTTATAGCATCAAAGTGCTTTGTATTTGTGTTAAGGTGCTTGGTGTCACCTCTGTCTCTGGTGTTTTCACAGTTAAACCTGTGGTTTGCTTTTTTCTTCTTTTATATTTTGACAGTGCAGTATTCAACCCATACAGTCTTCACACAAGCCAATATCTCTCTTTGTGCAACAAATGGCACTCAGTGTATAGTGCCAGCTATCAAAATGTCAGGCACTTTATGAGATGTGGGAAAATAGGGATGGTTCCGCAAATGGCTCATAGAAGTGTGGAACCCCTGAGAACGAAACTCTTGCCTGCATATCTGAAAAGACTCTTGGAAAAAAAAAAGACAAACTCTGTGGCACAGATACTCTCTGTGGTCTTTTCAGCACACCTCCCCACAGACAACCCTGCAGAGAGTGATGTAAGATAGAGATCCTTGCTGGTCCCTAATTTTAGCATACCACAAGTAAAATGGTCTCAGTCCCACAAAAGAGTTTGGACCATTTCTGCTGTCTTACATTTTTACAACATTCTTTTTTCTTTTGTTGGGATCACTTTTAGGTCCACTTTTAGGCTATATCTATCTATCTATCTATCTATCTATCTATCTATCTATCTATCTATCTATCTATCTATCTATCTATCTATCTATCTATCTATCTATCTATCTATCTATATATATATATATATATACGCACACATTCACACACACTGTATATATATAAACCTTAGGTGAGAAGCCACACAAAGTGTCACAAGATTTCCTGAAGGAATTATGGCTCCTGAGTACTTGCTGTAGCTTACCTGTTGTGTGTTGAGTTGGCAGTTCCAGGAATGGCAGCTGCTGCTGCCTCCTGGGCCTTGCGGTTAGAGCTACCCAAAGAAGGAGGGCCCATCCCAGGCCCAGCTGGCTGGGGCATGCTGGGGGAACTGGGAGCCATGGGCGGGTACACCCTGTTCTGGCTGCCTGGTCCGTGACTGCGTCCTACAGGTATGGGTTGGCCGGGACCCTGGCCGTGCATGGGGCTGCTAGCGTTCATTCCCAGACTGTTGGTCATTCCAGGGCCGGAGCCGCTGTAGCTGGTACTGGCAGTCCCACTGTAGTTGGAGGGCCGTGGATAGTTACCTGGAAGAAGACAGCCCGCAATTAATGATGACAATGTCACTCAAAAGATAAAACATGGGTTGTTGTCACTTGCGACATTTAACTTCCCACTTCAATTAGATAGATTGCTTACAAGAATGACACAAAATGGCTGCTGTAAAATACTGTAGTCGCAGATGGATGCTATGAATCACTTCATTTGAGAGAAATGGAGTGTTTATCAAGTGCTTGTCAGCTGATACCCTTATACCTACAACAGTGACACATACAAATATTTCATCCATCAAGAAAATAATCCTGTGACACATGAGAAATGAGGAATATAAAGCACAAAACTGAATTCTGTTTCATAACCTCTATAACCTCGAGCAGAGGCCGGGTGTGGTGACATTTTTCAAAGCTGCAGGTTGCTGGACGGCCCTAGGAACAATTGCCAAGCTTAAGGCTGACTTTGTGAAACACTTGAGAGGAGCTCTAATCTGCAGTAAATGCTTTGTTGCTGCCCTGGAGTGCCACACGGCAGCAATGCCAGAAGCTTTCCTAAGGCACACTTAAACCCCTCCATTTTGGCTCTAAAAGCTCAGCTCCACTCCAACACCAGCTGCAATAAGAGTGGAAAGAGAAATCGCCATGCTGTGAAAGACAACATGTACATACATTGAGGCACACTAAAACACACCTACTGTACATGTAAGTGCAGTACACTCCCACACACACACATACACAGAGCACATCGTATTGTATTCTTTCTGCAGGCACTGGGCCTTTTCCACTGTGATGTTCCCTCCCTGGGACAAATCCCCTGCAAAATAGAAATGGAAAATGTGGCATCCTCCATTGTGAAGAGGGCTATTTATTTTGATTTGATTAAGGGTGCTTTAGTTGGGCCTCACTGCTTAATCCTCTGAGAATATGTCTGGAAAAGGGGATCAAGTCCCTTTAAAACCTGAAGGCTTTTCCGCACGCTCAAACGAGGGAAAGTTGAATGACAATATTCCACACGGGGGAAAAAACATCTCCGAAAATGGAAATGGCTTCTCAGTGTCCTCGAGCTGCTTCAGTGAAGACACTTTCCACATGACATAAGCCTGCAAGTCCAACAGAGGGGGAGAGCGGGAGGAAGCAGCAGAGGGTGGGGGCGGAAAGAGAAGAAGACAGACAGACAGAAAGGTGGGGGGGAAAAACTCCTGCCCCCCCCAACCCCGAGATAGGATTTATATTGAATCAAAATAAAAGTCTTTCCCATAAAAGTCAGCAGCTCCGGTTGAATTTGTCCAGAAATTGTGATGAAATCTACTGTGGGAGATGGGAAAAGAAGAAGCGGATTATTTCTGGAGAGGCTTTGGTGAGTCGGTGAGCTGAGTACGGCTGACACCTGTCAAGGGTTTTGGGGCTATAATAGGGAAGCGTTCAGGAAGAAAGGATGTCTGCTAACGAACACAGGAGGATATGTATGGTGTACAGTGCATGTGTATATGTGTGTGTGTGTGTCCATCCGCTTGTCTGTGTGAATGCATATATAATGCTTCTGAGACCTTGCAACCACTGAAAACCACATTTCCGTGTTTCTTCCTCCCATATGACACTGCCTACAACGCTGTGGAAAATCCTGGGAACACTGCCCTGCGGCTTCCTTCCTCTCGGCTCGGGTGGACGGTTTGCTGCAGATGAACAAGGCTGCAGTCAGCGACCTCTCTCAGCCCTCTTTGGACAGCTGTTGAGCCCCATGTCATGGCCGCCTGCCATACATTCTCAATAGCCTGGGCGGACACGCTGTGGTTTTTGGCCCTTGTGACGGACTAAGGCTCCAGCACACCTCCCGGGGAGTTGTTTATATCACACAGTCCCATTTGGACAATCTGCATTTTGGCGGTTGTGCCAAAATCCCCAAAAGTGGGAGTGAGTGTCTGGAAGTTTCCATGAGACTGTATTCGACTTGACTGGACGGGGGGGGTGAGATGCTAAGCCAAATCTAACTGAAGAGGTTTGTGTTGGAAAAAATGCATCATTAAGTTGACACCCTGCATCGGGAGAACTTATCAGTCTTGATGTACTACCATTCAAAATGTTCTAGTTGTGGGCTATGTTTGCCTCGGCTGACAAAGGTAAGACAGAGTGGCTGTGGGACTGGGTTAATGCTAAGCTTTCCTATGAGAGTTATGCTCCGTCCTGACAAGAATGATTCACTTCCTGAAGGATTGGTACTGCGCCAGAGCGCTTCTTCAAGGACAGATAGCGTACTAACCCACTTTTTAAAATGACTGAGAGCTCAACCCAGAAATTCTAGGTGTTTTTATAAGAGTCATTCATGCTTTCTAAGGCTTTGGAAGTGCCACTCAGATTACATTACATGACGAAGTTGGATCATTGCGGAGGCCAAAGACAGAATACAGATTACTACAGATTGTATCATGTATCATGTTTAAATTACAACATTAACAAGAAAGATGAACATAAACTGAACAAAATAGTGTTATTATTTGGAAATTTACTTTAATTTAATCTAATTTAGTAATGAGGACTCCATATGGTGTTACTTACCAAACTTAAAAGAAAAGAATATGTATTACTTGCTTTTGGCCTAAAAGTGCATCCTGGCTTGGCACACGAAAAAATGTGGCTGTAAAAGCCAACATAGAAGTCGGGAGTGGCCTCTTCTGCCCACTGTAAAAAAAACCATGAGACTTCATTGAGAGTCATTGGCAATTTGGCCACATTATATAATCAAGAAAGACTGATCTTTTGTAAAGAAATCATCACAAGCTCACGAAGTCAGAAGAGTTAAGATTAGTTTCTTAATGTCCCTCCTAACATACATCTTTCAGTTGACTTCAGTTAGGAAGTGAATACATTTCTGTGGGTCTTTTCTTAGCCATGACAGTGGCTTCAAAAAGGTATTATGAGTTGTGAGCAGTTGGTGGCTTTGTGGTGAAAACTCCGACTTTAAAAAGCACAATCTAATTTCTTGTTGCTCAAACTTAAACAAAATTTGCAGTTTCAGCTGCACATGTTAGCATTAACATATATGCACAGAAGTGTGTCATCTGCTTCACCTACTTTGTAAGTGATCTAAGAAAGTGATTCTAATACTACTCAGGAAACCAATCAAGGAGGGACAAGGGGAAAAAAGGACAAGGAGGATGCCATTTCTTATTTGTCCCTTCTCGCATCCTTATAGCTGAGTTTTGATTTTCTGCCTGCTTCTCGGGCATTTGGTGCCTTTGGGGAGTCTTGTGGTATTTATAGTGCAATGGAGGGGAGTAGAAGGTGGAGGGGAGGAGAAGGAGAAGGAGAGCTCATGGTGCTTCGTTCACAATTACATGGAAATACCCAGCACGGTCACGCATTCGGTGGACGCTATATCCTGCGCCGGGTATAATCCCAGCAGTCCCGCGGGAGAGCTGGAGTGTGACCGAGCAGATTAACGTCTACTGCTTCCTCAGCAGACTGGACCGTCCAATGCTAACAGCCGAGGCAGTCATTCTCCCAGCTACAGTGGAGTATGGTATGATGGTGCACCAACGCGCCCTCAGGATCTGTGAACTCCATCAATAATGACTGGAACGCAGATTACATGGCTGCATGCTTGAGCTGCCAAGGACAGGAACAGGGCAGACTGCCCATGTCCACATGTGGCTGAACACAAATAAAAAAAATGAATAACAGCATTTTTCTCTTGCTTTTTGTGGATGTGGTAGTGGCTGGAGGAAGATGGTTTCAGTTGGAAAGGTGGGCAAGAAGGAAATATAGTGTGTTGACAAGAACAAGACACCCTGGTACTCATTTTGTTCCATCTTACTCAGAAGTTATATTTTTTAAACTTGAGTATAGGTGCTATAATACACCAAGTTTTAACATTCTTTTACTAAAAAGATAATATTAACTGTTTCTGATGCTTGAAGTTTAAATATCTTAAAATTAGGAAGATCAGTTCACAACCCTCAATAATGTGACGACAGACAACTGACATAGAGAAAAATAAATCTTCATTTCACAACTCAGTATTACTCTGCAGAACACATGTATGACTTGCTGGGATGGATAATTTTTTTGCAGCGTCTCCTCTTGCCAGAGGCCCCCACATCCTCTCCCAGCCACCTCAGCACCTTCCCCGGCAGGTTGTCTGAGCCTAAGCAGGGCTGGGGTGCGCCTTGGGCCTGCCGAGCTCCACATACTGTCAATTTCCTCCGAAAAACTCCACTCCCTCCCCCAGGCGCTGGCTTTTTTGGCTGAATTACACCGCGGCTCCAGCAAGGCACCAAGGCTTAAAAGTGCTGTCTGAAGCATGGTCATTACCAGCGGAGTGCTTAACCCCTCAAGGGTGGGGGTGGAGGTTTGGTGGAGGGAGCTATGCGCTATGCGATGGGTGGGAGAGAGAGCGGAGCTGAGACAGACTCCAAATCTCTTTCCTGTAATGGTCTGATATCCTCCTCCCCCGTCTGTCTGTGTGTCCACTGTTCTCAACATGCTGGCTCTGTATCATGTCCAAATGCATGTCTTGAAAACAGCTGTTGGAGTCATTTGAGTCCTGAGGAGAGCCTGATAACAACACACAGTACGAGATCAGTTTAACTTCGGATAAAGAGGGCTTTTAAAGGACAGCCATAAACATTTAGCAGCTTAAATATATTTTGGAAATACTGGGCAGTCCACTCACTGTAAGAGCTCTTATTTAGACAGTGAGAACACAGCAAAGGGGGGAAAGCTTTGGCAGGGTTTGACTTTACATCAGTCTAGAAGAAAACCTTTGGTTACAGTCTAGGAAGCAGACTTATCTAATCAAAGATCTCTGGAAATAACTACTAAATATTTTAGTACTGTTTGTAGAAGGGCCATATCCTCCTGCAGTCTCATGTATCACCATAACTGTATGTTGGATGGAGCTTATGTAGTTGATTACACAAGCTGCACTATGCTCGTTTTTGCGTCTGATAAAAGAGTTACACAATACCAAACAGTTTTTATGCTCTTTGGTGAGCCACAATCTCACAAGTGTTGGTGTGTGTGGCGAGCATGATTGCTGAAAATGTTATAACACACACACAAACACAACAAAAAGGCCCAAGAATTGGGTTCTCCCAGCATAGGCAGACATGCCAAGAAAAACAGCAGAGTTCAGAAACTTGGGAGTGCATTTCTGTGTTGGCTAATAGCTGGCTAATTTGTTAGTGCGCTAGGGAGAGGGAAGGGAAGCAGATGGAGCTGTCATTAAGAACAATGACCAGCAGCTGTTTGCCCTGTTCACCCTACACAGACCCCTGACGGGCCCTCTAAGAACTGGGCCCTGCCTATAATGTGTGTCTCTTTGTGTATTTACAATTTCTGTATGAGGACAACATGTTCTCAAAAGGATGGAAATAAGATAATAAGAAAAGGAAATAAAAAATCTTGCAGTTACCAGTTTAAAGGGTCAATCTGACTGTTTTCTACATAAGGGTAAACCCTTATTTACGGTACTGAATTCTACTGTATGTGGTTTGTTTTATAAAAAAAAATAATTCTACTCTATTCGTGTTATTTAAAAAATACTTACTTCTACCGTAATATTGTTATTAAAAAAGGAGCAAAAAAGGACATACTAATTAAAAACGACATAAAAGAATGCAGCAGCGGCCCATGGTTTGAATCCGACATTAAACCCCCGCCCCAAAAAAAATAAAAATAATTGTGTAATACCGTATACTGTTATACTGTAAAATCGTAATGTTTTCTGAGATCTAATACTAAATACTGTTGTAACCCTAGTTAGCAGAGTGCAGAGGGCTTCTGCAAGAAATGCTGGGTGGTCCAACAAAAAAGTTTAACCTGGTTCAACTTTGCAGTGCATCATCTAGGAAAACCCCTTCCTGACCAATCAAATATTCTACCCACACTGATGTGGTTGACAAAATATTATATACACATTTCAGTATAGTGCAAAATGATACAACAGCACCACAAACTTTATTGCCTCCAAAACGACCGTAAAGTTGAATCAACAAAAACAATTTCAATAAAAACTGAATATTCTATGAAAGTAGGGTTTATTGCGGAGCTACTGTATTAGACTGTATTGATTTTAGCTGGACGTACCTAATGAACTTGGAAAGTTAGATACAGCAGGTAATAAAAGAGAGAGAAACCATGTTTTTTTCTGGAAAGTACAGTGTGAAGATACAAAGGTAGCCATTAAAGAAGCGCCACTTTTTAGGTGCTTGATGCACTGCTGTCTGAAAATATCCTAGAGTACTAATGCGGGATAGATGCAGGTGCAAGTGTACATATCTACAGTATATATATATACCGAATATGTGTGTGATGAGAAGACAGCGGGCCTGAGCTGTTTCACTGTTTCTGAAGGGAACATCTCTCCTGTCATCCCAGTGAGATTTCACGCTCATCTGCCTCCAGAGCTTCTTCCAGGCTAGTCCGCCTCGCTTTTGCTCTCTGCTTACTTTATTTCTCTTTCTCTCTCTGCTTACTGGGCTGTCAGCCCAGCCAAAGTCACATTAAGAGATAAGAGTGGGTGGAGAAGGGAGACCAAATACCAAATGCATTAGGGCTATTAATCAACATTAACAAATGCGAGGGAGAGGCCGCAATTTTAGGAAAACACACGCACGGATGGGCGCATTTATCAAGGTGACACATTAAAACACACATTTACCAAAAAATACCATAATGTTTCGTCTGGTGTGTCGCCAAAGGCAGAAAACGAAGTACAACAGCAGATGTCAACGTTTGTTGGATGGCCGGGAGTCGTACGATGGCGAAAACAAGCGAGCGGAGAATGCTTAATTATAGAGAGCGAGCCAAAGTTTTTTCCCAAATTTCCTGGAATCTGTGGTTTCTTTTTTTTCCAAGTTTTTCTTTTTTGCTCGAGTGTCAGAAAAAGCTTGGATTGATGGTTTATGTGACTGATTTACCAAATGGCTCATCAAACAGGCCTATATACTGCTGTAAACTGAGCCAAAGATTACTGCTTGATCACATTGAGGACTTTAACCTAATAGTTCTGAAAATAGTTAACAAAATCTGGTACAACTGCAGTGACAGCTTGAATTAGCAGAGAAGTCAGGTTAACTGGATATATTATGTTAGTTAGCTACACATTTTAAAATGTAAAGCAATATACTTTTAAACTCTTGAGTGACTTTTGTTTTTAAATAACTGAACTAGATGCTTTCCTGTGAGGTTATCGTTAAAACATTGAGCCTGACGACAGGATCGGACATCATCATTCAGTGGATAAACCTCACGACGTGTCAGTCCGCTTTGTATGGAGCTACCTCATAATCTTATCATGAGGAGGGCCAAGAGGTCCATCCGGGGTTCAAGTGTGTCATAAATATTCTAGGAGTCACACCCTCAGAAAGCACGGTTTTTAATTCCCGCAGTGAGTCCCACCACAGAGGACGAGAGAAGACTGTATCTGTGTGTGTGAATGGGAGCTGCAGAAAGAGTTAGAGACAGAAACAGAAGATGGCTATGTCTTTCAAAATTAGTCTTTTTGTATTACTCATTAGCAAACTCACTTTGAAACCAATGACACTGATGTCAAGGCCCAGTGTGAGTGTGAAATGGGGGCCAACAGTCATCAAAAAAGACAAATGTGGCTTTCCTATTTAAAACTCCAACGGCCAAACTCCTCTATAACCCCTCTGAATGAATGATACACGCGGTATTCATCACTCTAATAAGTCAGAAAGCAAGTTGTTGAACAAATCTGATGTCAGGTAAAAGTCAACACAGTAAGTCAACAAAGGGCTTGATAGTGATTTTAATAACTGGTAATTCATCATAAAGTTTGAAAGGAGTTGTACCTTGTGGGAAATCAAATTCTCTCACTTTTATTTTCAATAGTATTTCTTAAATCATGTTCTAAACCACCCTCTGTTTCGGTCAAAGAGTGACAGGGGTTTTTTTTTATGTTGTTTCAATGAGCCTGGCTCCAAGGACTCAAGGATTTAAAGGAATACACTGAAATGGGATGGATTGAGTTTCTGGTCAAGTTATAAACCTAGACTCATCATTGGCTCAGGTGCTCTAAGCCAACACTCCAGTAAAGACATTTGAAACATGCTGCAGGAAATGCAGCTATATCTGGTTGGTTAAATCCTGACATTGCGATATGTGATCCGATTGCTTTATGGAGAACGGAGATGCGTGAAACTGTTTTGTGATTGAGAATTTAAAATTTACTCGTCACTTGTCCAGAAACATATCTAAATGCACAGTAGGGCTCAGATTTGTGAGATCATTTTTATAACTTCTGATAGTAAGTTCATTAAAACAGCTTAATATCAGCACAGGGAAAGGAATCGTTGATTGAAAGGATGATTGATGATAAAAAAAAACGATCGGCAGTCAGAACAAGCCTACTGGTCACACCTCCATTTAAAATGGCAAAATTTCATAGTGAAAACAATTCATTTCAATGGAATCGCAGAGTTTAGTGAATTCAAACTTGGTAAATTTTGACTTGTGAATCTGTGCCATTAGCTTATTAGTCGTGTTGAACCATCCAGGTTTATTCAACACTCCTGTATTGGAGTACTGCATAAATATGTCTTTTGAATATACTGCAAACTTATTATCTTGTTAGTAACCAGCAAGCTTGCTAGGGTACAGTTTGGGAGTGAGAGGTTTCAATAAACTTCAATAAAACTCTTCATTAAATGAAACA